TATTACAATGAGCTTGACTTCCTTGCTGAAAAGATGCCTAGGGTCAAAGGGACACTGTTTTGCCTGAAATAATGCACCTATGAATACATGAGTTGAGCTCAACCGTCTTTCTACATTCATTGGTGGCGGTTTCTGTGGAATTCAGAGAACTTTCAGGACTGCTGCCAGCTTGGGTAGATTAAGTTTGTCCTGGTGTTCTGAGCAAGGATTGTGAAGTCAACTGTGATGCAGTTTCTCTGGCCCGCAAAATGATAAATTGTTTTTGAGGAAGGACTAAGTGACTTATGACCAGGACAATGGAACAGCCTGAGTCAGTCTCCCCAATGTATACATTATGTTATTTATAATAGCAAGAAGTAGACACAATCGTAATGTTCACTTCACCCACAGGGTATTAGCTCAATGAATATCTGTATGATGGAATACTAGGCAGTCATTAGAATTATGTGCTAGAAAAAAAGCTTAATCTCATGGGAAAATGTTCACAACATAACATTAATGGGGAAAAAGCTGATTATAAAGCAGTATGCACAGAACACAGCAGTCTTGTAAGAAAAAAACATTGTGTACGCTTTTTTAACTAGAGGGATGTGTATAAAAACAATAGCCATGCTATCTCTGGGTAATAAAATTTGGCTTGACTTTTATTTTCTTTTTTGGATTTGTCTCTATTTTTCAAATTGTCTTCCATGAACATATAACATTCCAAACTCAGGAAAAAATTATATTTAAAAAAAAAAAAGATTATCTGAGGGATCAGCAGATGTGTTTCCTGTTTCTTATCCCCTGTCTATTTTCCATTTTATATCAGAGATTCAAATTCCTCAGTCCTTCCCACAACAGATACTAATGGAGCAAGAGGCCTGGAGTAGCCAGTGTCCTAAACAGCTTTGGAAAGGTCTCGTTTCCACCTAGCGCTGGGAATTAATCGTACCCAAACCATTATTTTTTTCTAATTGGGAATGAGCTTCTCCAAGGGATCTTAAATAAGGGGATAGCGGCTCACAGAGGACAGTTATAACCGTCAACAGCTGCTCCATGGGCTTTCAAACACGAGGGTTATTCACCCCTTCTCCTCGGCCTTTTCACAGCATCCGATCCCTTGGAGTTTTGAAAATCTGCTGTCACAGTGAGAAGGGAAGGGGCTGGGAAAACCATAACCCTTCTCCTTTTATGGAAGGAAGATGAAGGGAATTGGAGAGAACGAAACTAAGGGACTAAGACAATTCGGCTTTGTTTGTCTAGTTCGTAGGACAGTTGTCTGCATAGAGGAGTGCCAGAAAGTGGACGAAAGGAGTAATCAATGAGTTCAGAGAAGGAAACAGTTGGGCCACTGTAAAATCTGCCGCAGAATCGAGGCCTTGATGCACACCATTTCTGGCACAGATTTAAAGAACCCATCTAGCTTTTAGCTGCTCCTCATCATCACCTCCTTCCGAAGCAGAATGGTCAAGATCATCTCCCTTCTCACCATGGGAAATGACACTACAGTGTCCCAGCTGTGCAGGAGCCTCCATTTCCATCAGTGGCAGATCTTGGCGACACCCCTAGAAGGTAGTGAGGAGCACTGCTGTCCTTCTGGTCCTCTGTGCCTGTCAGTTGGCTCTACCGCTTCAGGGGAGCCACGGTAACTAATTCTGGAGCATGGTCAGATGGTGGCTTTTCTCAGTCACCCTTGGAAAATTCATGCCCCTATTGTATTGGAAAATTCCTCTTGTGCCTGTCACTGCACACATCAGGAGACCAAGATTTCCATTTTCTCAGAAGTAATTAACCAGCTACTGTCATTAAGACCTATTCCTGGAATTTTTTACTCATCCTTTAAAAGCCATCATCCAACCCCAGGAGACCAGGTCTGAGGCAGGGGCCTGAGTTCTCCCAAAGCAGAGAAATAAGCTGAGGCCGGGCTGGGCTTGCTCGGAATCTGGGGCCCAGGCCTACTCAGCCCCAGCACTGGAATCATTCTCTGTCATCTGCTCTTGATTTCCTGTGACATCTGAGGATGGCAGAATAGAGAACGGGGAAGGGCCAGCCAAGGAGCACTTCCCCTATAGAATAAGGCTTCTGCCACCCCAGACCCTTGATAAGACTCCTCAAAAGAAAGGGGGGGGGGAGAGAGAGAGAGATGGAAGGAAGCCTACCCTACTCTATCCTTCCAGATCACAAGATGGGAAGATGTTCACTTTTCAGATGGTTGACACAGCAGAAATATTCTTTACATTTCAGGGGGTGCAGACCCCACAGATTTAATAAGGATCCTCAGTGTTTCAGTTAACAGGATTTGCTAAAGCAGGTAAGTCAGCTTGAAAAAATAGACTAGGGTCCCCTTTGCCCTAGAGTGTCAATGTGGGCTCAATCTGATTTTAAATCTAAATTCTCAACAGCAAGAGTCTTCTGGGGAAGAGAGATCTACTTATGCAAAAGTGGTGCTCTCAGAAGGAAATGCTTAGGCCCTACCATTTTCTAACAGAAGATGATAAAGACGAAGCTTTCCATTGATAACATTTTTAGACTATGTAAGACACACCAACTCAAACCTTGTTCACTCGTTCATATGTCAGTTTAACAAATATCTATTGAATACCTTGTATGTACAGGAACCAAATACTACGCATTACCTACCATCCCCTCCAGTAGCTCACAGCCTAGGAGGATGGCACTCCGGGAAACAAATGACAATAGATTGTGGTTAGATCCTAAAGCAAGGTAAGAAGGTGTCACAGAGGACCAGCCAAGTGGCGTGATGGTTGGGAGCTGGCTTGGGTCGCCAGAGGGCCCCGGTTCGGATCCCACATATGAGGGCCAGTGACACTGCCCTCCACAGCTGGGATGCTGAACAACAGCTCAACCTGGAGCTGGGCTGCCGTGAGTCTCCGGCGACGGCATAGGCTGCAGCCTCTGCTGCAGTGGGTTGCCATGGCTACTGTGTGTAGCCAGCAGCCAGCATGAGCAGCCAGCAGCCGCAGCGAGCAGCCATCCAGAAGCTGGCAACTGATCTGCCTCACCCGGGAAGAGTGCAGTGATGGTGCCGACTTGGGCCAGTGAAGCAACGTCCTCCACATCTAGACTGAAGAACAAAAGGACAGCAACTTGTCTGTTCTCCTTCCCCCAATTCCCTAGCGCTGTTCCCATCCCCCAATTCCCCAATAAAAATCTTTAAAAAAAAACAGTGTCACAGAGTACAAAGATGAGTGCTGCTCATGCTACCCACGGCTTCGGGGGCCCCTTCACAGTAAAGGAGACTCGTAAGTTGGGGTTGAGGATGAGTAGTTTTCCAGGCAATTGTACTGATATTTTCATTATAGACATGAGCGTGTTTCACTATGCATCTGAGCTCCAGGGAGTCAGGACACAGTGGCTGTGACAGTGGGTGACAACCTCCTGGAGAACGTGTACACCATCATCCATCAGGAGCCATGGCTGTGCTCTCCAGCAATCAGCCCAGGTTGCTTGTGGCCCCAAAGCAAGCCTTAAGGTTTGATGCAGCCAGGTGATACCTTGGACCAAAGTCCTGAGGCCAACAGCATGTTCATCCAGGGACAGCACCTTCTCGGGGAAATAAAGGTCCAGCTCCACTTAAGCATGCAGGCAAAAATGCCTGGACAGAGACTAGAGAGAATTTGCCCACGGGTGGGTCCAAACTCACCATGTCCTTTGGTTAAGCTCCTCACTCCTTTTGCCTGCCATATCTGCCCCCCTGTCACCCAAGCATCTGATGAACATCATGCATGGTTCAAGACTCAGCTCAAATGCCATGCCCTCTAAGAAGACTTTCCCAACATTCCAGGATCAAATGGTTATCCTCTTTCTGACCCCACCCCTACCCTTGGCACATGTTCCATCTTACATGTCTCAGAAGTTACTGCATTTATTTATTTACACATCTGTCTCCCTGAGGGCAATGAGTGGTTCTTTCTCATCTCTGTAACCCCAGTGCCTCACATAGTGTCTGATGGACTTTTAGTGAATGGAGGCCAGCTGCACTTGTCCACTTAGCATACCCTGGCGTCTTCTAACAAAGCAGAATATATTCTATTGCAAAGTCCTTCCTGATAAAATCATAGAGTATCTAATACCCCTGTTTCACATAGAAAGAAACTAAAGTGTGAAGGGAGGCAAGTCCAGAATTTAGTCTGTGGTGGACCCAGGAGTGTAAAGCTTAAGCAGGACTGTGTTGAGACCAAACTTCCCGGAGCCCCTGGGCCACCCCAAATCAGATGAAATTCAAAACAAGCCAGAGCCTCGCTGAGCAGTTCCACAGTGCTGGTCGCCAGCACGTTCTGGAAGGTTTTCCTGGGCTGTGCCTCCAGAAGGTTGGGGTGGGGAGAAGCCCCACAGGCCCAGTGCAGTGTCAGGTTCCCCCTTTTCTGTCAGCAAGCATGGAAGAGCCTTTAAGAAAATGGAGTATTATTATTTGTTTGTTTTTACAGTGACTCATCTGTCGTAACTGGGTTAAAGTCCACTTAGAGAAAAATGAGAACAAAAGACCTCCTGTTAGTGCTGGAAGTTTGCCTCTTAAGATATCACTGAGAGGAACTGGGAAGAAAAAAAAAAAAAAAAAAAGCCCAGCGGGGCAGAGGAAGCTGCAGGCCTTCAGGAACACAGCGGCACTTTGGAAAGGCAAACACCGCGCCTTTCATCTCCAGAGCCCTATCTCAGCCGGCCGCTCCCTTTGCCGCTGTTTTATGACCCACTGCAGTGCTGACCATCAGACACAGGCCAGTGCCCTGTTCCCACACTCTGTGAACACAGGGAGGCTGCCAGGAGCTCTGGCAGTGTGGATGGTCTCCATATCCAGCCAGCCCCAGACTGAGAATCGGAGCCCTGATGGTGGTGGTGGTGGTGGCGGTGGGACTGACACACAGAACTTACTACATGCTAGAGGCTGTCCTAACATTATGGATCATGGCTCATTTTATAAGCACCCAGGAGGCTAGCATGCTACCTCCCCTGCTGCATGCAACAGAAGGGAGATGCCATGAGGTGGAAACCTTGTCCTGCTCTCTTTGGGAAACCCATTAGCCTCAGTGCAAGTAGAGGAGCCGTGGGGCTTGTAGGCTGCCAAATAGTATGGAACCAGTTTCCCAAGTGGCATTTTCCAAGGTGCAAACTCAGGCCATCTGACTCCAAGACCTAAGGACTGACCCTTTGCTCTCTTCGAATGAAAAAAGAAAGCCGGAGAAAGACATGTCACAGCTCTCTTCCCACAATCTTCCATCTGACCAGCCCCACCTCCGTTAAACGGGCACCCGTGATCTTGATCACTCCGCTCTGTGGGAATGGTATTCTCACCCTTGGCCACCGAGACATGCGGCAGGTCTGTACCGTGATTGCCCATTCTGGTTCTGGCCGTCTTCACCTTCATTGTAAGAAGTTGAAATTTTCTTCTCCAGGGCTATGAAAGAGGGATTGGGGACATGAAGGAGAAGACAGAAGTTACCTGAAAGTCCCAGGTAGCACTTCACACCCCCCTTCTTCCTTCCCAGGGCTCTGCTGGTCCCCTAGAAATTAGGCCTGGCCTGCGGGTCCCAGGCCTCTGCCCTGCAAGGTGGCGGGGACTTCTGGGCCTCTCAATTCAAATAGTCAGCCCTAATCATTCTGTCTCCTGAACAAGACATATTTTTGGTAATTTCTCACTAAACAACAAGGATTCTTCAACAGAAACCCCAAAATGAAAGTGTTGCTGTTCTACTCTACCCTGCCTTTCCCCGTGGATAGCCGTGTTCCACAGCATACAGCAGACAAACGCGGGGAGCACCCTACGTGCCGTGGTAGGTGCCATGGTTAAGCTGCTCCAGCGCGGGGCTGGTCCTCTGGTTTTCTGTAGGCCGCTGTGTGACTCTGAGGAGATTATTCGCACTAAGAAGCAAGACCTCCCTCAAACAATGGGTTGAGGGGAACACTGAAAAGAAGCCAGTCCACTGCTCTGTAGGATACGTCTCCCTTTGGCTCGCCTCACGGGGATCAGGCCCCTGGTGGAATCACTGGAGATTTAGGGCTTAATTAAACCCTGGCTTTGGGCCAATACGCCGGTGACCCCTTGAATTTCCCAGGTCCACCCAAGTGACATAAACACTGGATTGGGAATGTGAACTGCTTAGCTGATCCCAGAAGAGCCGGTCCGGTCCTCATTAGCTAAGAGCCAGAGTATTGCTAGCTCACAGGGCTTGGCAGGTGTTGGCAGGCCCCATCCTTGAAGTACAGCATGACTTTTAAGTTAATGGTCCCTACATCTGCGCTGTCTGGGGCACGGCTGGGGACTTTGCGGACCACCTCCACCATTGGGACCTTTGAGATTCCCTTCATCTCTTGGTCTGATACAGCCCAAGCTCACCACCCTAGGTGACCAAACCATCTTCCTAATAGGCTGTCCTTGATTCTTCTTTGTATTAGAGATCATTTTGCTTCTGAGCAAATGGGTGGATCTTGCACAGCCCGAAGCATAAGGATTGGGGCTATGGCCCTACTTGAGGGCACTAGAGAGTCTTTTGTATGAGGGCACCCATGAATCAAACAAAAAACTATGTGCTTTCTGGAGTTCAGTGATTTTGTTGTTGCTTACACTCAGCATTTGCTTGTGACCTTAAGGACTCAGCAGAGTAAACTGCTTAGGTCCCCGCATGGCCCAGGACTGAGCAACCAAAAGATCCATTCTCAAGCCCCATGGCTGGCTGGCCCAGGGACCCTGCAGCGTCCCCTGAAGCGTCCCCTGAAGTATTGGACCCTGGAGTTGGTGTCACAGCTAAGTTTCGCCAGTAACTTCGGGATCCTGACAAGATGTGGGGGATTGAGGAACGGGTCTAGCAGGAACCGAGCTAGAGCCAGGTACACCTCCCACCCCAACTAGCTGTGTGATCTGGGTTGGCAGTGTCATTCTCATCTCAGCCACAGTTTCCATGCCTATAAACATAATAATGATACCTGCCACCAACTTTTCCTTAAAGGAGAACAGGAGAGTGAATTAATTAATGTTTATTGAGCACTTGGAGTTCTTTGGAGACAGGTCTTTATAAATATAAGGCATGATTAAAGGATAATAGTTTGCTAACCCTCAGAGGAAGTACTTAATGAGATCAGGGCTGAATACCTTGATGACTGAGTTTCATTCTTTATTCAGATATGCACAGGGCTCCCATCACTCAGCTCTGCTGTCCACTCATGTTATTATCCTGTTGTTGTTCACATTTTTATATATCATAGTACAGTCCAACAGATATACCCCTCCTACCAAGGTTACCCTCTGCCTCCTTCCCTTACACCAGCTTCCACACCCTTCCCTGAGGTTACCAAGACCACTTAATTGTCAAGCCCAGTGGCTTTTTCTCACTCCTCATTCTCCTTGTCCTTTTTGGAGCATGATACTGTTCACAAAACACTCCTCATCCTTGAAAGTCTTATTCTGTGGTTTCCTCAATACCAACAGGTCTACACTGAAGTCATCATTGCCCCCAAACCAATTCCCTACCCTGACTATCCTACTTCTCTTCATTTTCATGGAGCCCAGTCTCCAGCTATCCCCCTCCATCACCACAGTGCAGGCCCTTACTGTCCCAACTGCTTGGACCTTGCAAAATCCTGTCCTTGGCCGGAAACTTCCAGACTCAAGGCAGGTGTGATGTATTGGACCTTGAGCTGCCCCACAGATCTCTGTGCACCACCTTGACCTCTGGCCGTCTTATTCCCCAAATCCACTCAGGTCTCCTATCCACTTCCTGTGGGCTGCTCCCTCTTCATACACCACAGGACCTGCCTTCTTACTTGTCCACCTTCCTGTCTGGTTCCCAAACCCAGCTTCCACGCTTGCTCCCAGCAAACCAATGGAACTGACTGAAACATCTAGCAAGAGAGGTCTTTTCTAAAGCACCAGGACAGACTCCTCCCCTGCCTACATCCCCCAACAGATACAGACACATAGACACACATATTCACTTGTATGAATAGAAGCACACAAACATACAAAGAGACACAGCACACACAGACATACAGACTCATATACACAGACACATGCACACTCATGTAGAGATACACAAACACATAGATATTCATATAGAGACACAGGCACAGACATACATACTCTCATAGACATACAAACACATACTGATACACACATAGACGTAAACATATACCCTCACACACACATGTTTGCTGCCCTTCAGCATCTTGGCAGGCTGAACTGGTCTCTCTCACCCCCCCTGAGTAGGCAGTCCTCTTTACTCCTGTCTTCCTCCATTCCCATCTGTACTAGTCAGGGAAACAAAACCAGAGAAACAGAACCAATGGAAGATACACATGCACGCACATATATGCACATACACATACATATAAAGAGAGAGATTTTAAGGAATTGGCTCATGCAATTGTAGACACTGGCATGTCTGAAATCTAGAGGGCAGGCCAGCAGCCTGGAGACTCAGGGAAGAGTTGATGTTGGAGCTCTAATCTGAAGATCAGAATCCCCTCTTCCTCAGGGGACTCCAGTCTTTTTCTCTGAAGGCTTTCAACTGATTGGATGAGGCCCACCCACACTATGGAGGGTCCTCTGCTCTACTCAAAGTCTGCTGATTTAAATGTTAATCACATGTAACACATACCTTCACAACAATATTTGAACTGGTGTTTCACCAAATACCTGGGTACCACCGTCTAGTCAACTTGACACACAAAATTAACTGTCACACCATCCATCTGGAAAGCCAGAGCTCATATAAATCTCCCAAAACATCACCCTCATCACAATGGTTCCCTGCTCCAAAACCTAAACCCCTTCACCCCTGAATCAATAACAGGCACAAGGTAAATAAGCATTGTGTGAATGAATAATGCAATAGCCTCTGTGATGGGCACCACTTAGCTCAACACAGCAAACCATTATGAGGGCCCAGTCATGAGCTTTGCTAGTTGCCGAGGATACAAATATCAAAAACCACGCTGCACATCTACTTGTCTTCTCTCTCTACGCTTCTTTTTTTTTAGATTCTTTTTTTATTGGGGAATTGGGGGGATGGGAACAGTGTTGGGGAATTGGGGGGAAGGGAAACAGACAAGTTGCTGTCGTTTTTGTTCTTCAATCTAGTTGTGGAGGACGTTGCTTCACTGGTCCAAGTTGGCACCATCATTGCGCTCTTCCCGGGAGAGGCAGATCAGTCACCGGCTTCTGGAAGGCCATTCACTGTGGTTGCTGGCCGCTCACACTGGCTGCTGGCTACACACGGTAGCCCATAGCAACCCACTGCAGCAGGGGCTGCAGCCTACGCCATTACCAGCGACTCATGGCAGCCCAGCTCCAGGTTGAGCTGTTGTTTAGCACCTTAGCTGTGGAGAGCAGTGTCACTGGCCCTCATATGTGGGATCCGAACCGGGGCCCTCTGGCGTCCCAAACCAGTTCTTAACCATCGCGCCACTCGGCCGGCCCTCTCTCTACCTTCTTGAGGCCCGCGGCTGTGCTGCAGATGTCTCTAATCCCCCACAGTACCTAATGGAGTACTTTATATAAAGCAGGCCCTCAATTATGTGTGGATTAATTAATCTGATTCTTTTTACTGATCCCCATATCAAATTTACCTGAACTATAACAGATTTTAGGGCCTCGTTTATGAAATTATGAATCGTAGTGCCAAAGTCTGTTTCCACTTTTAAGATACAGATGTTAAGAGATATTTTCATACTCAGGAAGGGTTTATGTACCCCAGAACATTGACAGTGGTCTCTAGGGGTGGGATTGCGGTGGCTACTATTTGATTTTTTTATACTTTTCTGTGTCTTCCAAGTTGTCTTCCATGACCACGTGTTACGTCTATAACCCTAAAAACAGTACATGTGTTTTCTTTCATCTTTTCATTTATGAGCGTGAGGAGATTCGGGGTTCCACTCTCTGTTCTTTCCTGGGGCCCTCAGCATACCTCTTGGCTTCCCTTTGGAAAGAAGGCGTTCTGGGACGTCCTTGTAAAAATCTGTGAGGTCATAAAAGGTAACGTTGACTGCAAATGGTTGTTCTGTTTTAATTACATTCAAGTGTCAGGTAACATGGAACTTTTAATAAAAGCATTTGGGGAGTTAATGATTACGGCTGTTGTTAGGCTGTCCTTGGGAAGAAACAGAGAGCCTGGGTACCCCGCGTTTTGCCTCTGGCCACTCCCCCCAGTCCACAGGCCCTGCTGCTGTTCCCGGCCCGTTAGCATGCTCTCAGGCGTCCGTGCCAGATGAACAACACCCAGCCACAGTGGAAGCGACTGTTCCTTGAACTTTGCTTCAGACCCTGCCTGCCGGCGTCTCCGGAGGGAAGTGTTCACCTCTAGCCCAAATGAAATGGAGCTTCAGAAAAACCACAGCAGAGGCCGCAGCGGCCTCGGGCCCTGAACTTTGTATTTCTTAGACTGCCAGAATCACTGGCTGCTGAGTGCCATGGAATTCCCAAAAATGTGAAGGGGAAACCAAAGAGCTGGAGGAACGCAGATATCTTGTGACTGGAGAGTGTGTCTCGAGAGTCGCTTTGTATGGTGCGGCCAGGTGTGCTGGGGAGTGGCTGGGGCTGTGTGAGAAAGTGGGGTGAAGCCGACCAAGGAGGCCAGGCCAGCTCTGAAGTTGAAATTCCAAGAAACTCACCCTGCACAAGGCCAAGTCTGTGAAATACCCTTCACTCTGGAAAGACTCCTACACAAATTGCTGGGCTTTCCAGTGTGATACCTGATAAGTGCAAATGGGCTGAAAATATTCTTGAGATTTTTCAGTTTTATGCAATGAGTGGTGGCCACCAGGGCCTGTCTCACCGCCTACGGTGTCCCAGCAGTGGTTGCACCTGGCAGGCAGAGCCGGCATTTGCCCACTTTGGCCCTCCAGTAAAGTGTGCTTCATCATCTGTGCCTACTGAGGAAAGCAGGGGTCCAGCTCCATGTCCTCATGGTCATGCATCCCCTGCAGCCCTTCCTCAGCCCTGTCCAGGCAGACACAGCCCCCAAAATGTCCTGGTAGCAGCGGGATGGCCCCCAGCCAAGCCACCTTCCTTGCTCCTTTTTAGTCGCCAAATATCAGAGCTGGAAGAAATCTTAATGCTCATCGACCCAATCTCCTCACTGATGAGCTGATCTCTGCCTCCATCTTCACATGGGATTCTCCCTGTCTGTGCCTCCTCTTCTTATAAGGACAGCAATCATATTGGATTAGGGGTTGGCCCTACTCCATTATGACATCATTATCACTAATTACATCTGCAGTGACCCCTTCTCCAAATAGGGTCACCTTCTGCGATTCCAGGAAGGACGTGAATTTGGGGAGGGACACCCGTATCCAACCCAGCACAACCTTCTTGTCTTATTCTCCCCCTCCTCCCAACCTTACCATCCTTTCCTTTACTGGGGCAAACGGCTTCTGGGATGCTGTCTCATCTGCCTCTAGTCTAAGCAGTATTGGGAAAGCAGAGAATAGGAAGCTGTCTGTCAGCCACTGTTGCCCCTCCATGGACATGGGCATTCCCTGAACTCCAAGTCTGAACTGTTAACTCAGTGTTCCCAGCCCACACTGTATTTTAGAATCACCCGGGAGCTCGGAACACACAGAGCCCTAACTACACTAACAGGAATTCTGCCCCTCTTGGTCAGAAGAGGGACCTGCCATGGTTACGTTTCAAAAACTCATCAGGTGATTCTGATGATCCTGGGATGAGAAAAACTGTGTCAGGTGCTGTGAGAACAGCTCTCTCCTTAGGAAAGGGAATACAGCCCATCCACCAGGAATAGGGGTTTCTGACACTCACTGTCTGATGGGCCCCGAAGACTCATTAGAAAACGGTTCCCACCTAGTCCCAGGCTGCAGGAGAAAATGAACACATACCTTGGGGAGGAAGGGGGAGGGGACCTGACACAGACAGCAGCAAGCACAAAATGTTCTTGACGTTTCCTGTTTGACTTTTAAAGTGTGAATTTTGCATCCTCTTAATTTTTTTTGAAAAAGACTGGGGGTTTTTTTCCCTCCAGAAATATCCAAATATAGAAATGAGGCTCCAGAAAGATGTTTCCATGTTTAAATGGTGGCTTGATATACTGCTTAACACATCACTATGTCCCCCTGAGGTTCCTGACTTTGAAAAGCCCAGCTACAGAGAGTTAGAGGGGGCGGCAGTCAATGTGTTTAAACTTTGGATCATGTAGAGGAAAGCTTGTGCCCAGAGAGATAAAGTAACTCACCCAAGATCATCATCAATTGATGATGATGAACTGTACTTCAGGACCCACTTTTTCCACTGCACTGACGGACCGAGGTCAATGGCTGCTTTGCTATGTGACCTTGGATGGGTCTTTTTACCTCTCTGTGTCAGGTTCCCTGCACGTAAAATGCTGATGATATCTGTCCCACCTCAGAGGATCTGTGTGGAAACACTTTAAAATTATATGTAAAGGTGCTATAATTGTGGCAATTACAGCCCAACACTTCTAGGTGAGCCATGGTGATTCCAGCAAGAGTGACCGTCCAGGGCCATGCTGGCCAGGCTATGTTTGAGGGAAGACCAGTGTGGTGCACCCTGCCCCTCTGAGCAGCTGGGAGATCCAGGTGAATCGCCTGGTGTGCCCATCCCAGGGAAGGAATGAGGTCTTGGAAGCTCACGCCCAGCACTTCAGTTTGCTCTCCACTGCTCCACATTTTCATCTGCCCAGCCCCAGCCCCAATAACACGCTAAGAAAGCACTTCCCCACAAACACCCTTCTTGTCCCGGTCCTGAGAGTGTCTTTTCAAAGGGGTAAGGCATGGGGAAATGAGTGGCAAATGACAGCAGAGCCAGCATCTTCTTTCTCCTTTAACAAACGAGCCCACAAAGACCTTGCCCCACAACCCCTACCTTCCATAGGAAGTAGGCAGCCAGCCTGCTCCAGACCCTCCCTTCCTTGCTGTCCCAGGCTTAAGCAAGCCTCCTCAGCCCACGTCGGCCTTTTTCTGTTTACACTGCGAGATGGGCTTCTGCTGAGCTTAAGTGCAGTTCTGGCCCTTTTGTTTGTTTTTAAGTCAAGTTACAACTTTGCTCCTGGATTTATTGCAAATTCTATTTATCTTCTCCTGTCCAGGGTCTCTGCACAAATCCTTTAGAACTTCCCTCCCCATCTGCAGACAAATAACCTTGGGCACAGGCAGGAGACGAGGAGCACAAGGCTGGAAGGACGGACACAGAGGAGACACACACTAGGAAGAGCCAGAGGCTGTCCGCGCGGTGCTGGGAGAAAGAGCAGGGTTGGCAATGCAGATACAGCAGGAGAGATTGCCCAGGGAGGAAGGCCGGCCGTCGCACCTGCTGCCCCTTTCTTACGAAGACTTCTATAGGGAGAAAGAGCCTGGCTGAAAGGCACAGAAATCCCAGACCTGAGCAGAGAGAATCAAGAAAGGAAGATTCTAATTTTGGGGGAAGAAGTGCATGATGGCTCTGGCTGGGGGTGGTATGAGGTCATGGGTCCCCAGGGGCCTAGAAACAACACCATGTGGGGCCGTCTGACAAGGGCTGTGGGGCTAAGGGTTGGGGGTGGGCATGTGCCCACGGAGGCCACCCCAGACACGGCTAGGCACCAGCACAGCACTGGAGAGTTCCCTCCCCTCTCCTTTCCTTCCCAAACACCACCATTTCCATAAACTGCTGATGAAGAGCAAACAACTCCAAGCTGGAGCTCACCAGGGAGAGAAAGAGAATCAAACTGAGCTGAACAAACTGAGAGCCGGGTGTCCAGCCGTGCTGTTGGCTTGTCCTCCTCAGGCAGGAAGTGCTGATGGCCTGTCCTCCTTCCCGAGCCGAGTCCCCAGGCTCCAGGACATTAAAAACGGGCCTCGCAGTTTGGGGGACAAGGGGTCGTCCCAGGGGCTGGAAAGTGGGAACTGCTGGGATCTCAGCCCCTAAGGGCTTGACCTCAGGATGGGGTTTTAACCTTCCCTGGCCCAGGACAGCAGCTGCAGGTAGCTGGGGTGACCGCGGAGAGCCCCTGAGCAGGCTGCAGGGTGGCAGGGTCAGCAGCTGAAGGATTCCCCTGCCATGCCCTCCCCTCCATGGCATAGTCCAAAGCATCGCTGCCCAGGACCTTGCTCAAGGAGCCTCAAGAACTGGGGGTTAAGTGAATGAAAACAGGGCAGGCCCCCTCTGCTTCTGGGAGCCCTCCTGGCTTCCCACAGCTGCTGTCACTAATGAGTAGAAGAACATTCCACAGCAGTTTCCCTGGCCAGGCCCTGGGCTCTCCCCTTTCTCATACTGTTGGCCCTGGCTCCTCCGCAGTCACTCATCACCTACCAGGAGGCCAGCCTGCCCCTCCATGCTGAGGCCCCTCCAGGCCTTCCCATCGCTCCAGCCCCCATTCTGCTCTGTCTCAGTCACTTGCCCTCTCGGCCCCCTCAGACACCTCCAACCGCGCTCCTCCTCTCACCTCTTCCTGTCTCTTGCCCCTCCTCTCTCACCCTCTCTTGTGCCCTCACCACGCCCCATGTCCCTTTAGGAGCTGTTGTTCAGCCAAGCTCTCATCTGCACCCTCAGGCCCCTCAGCCCCTGACTTTCCCAGGCCCGCCCTGACGGACCCACCAGGATACTCTGCCCATTCACTCTGCAGCTTCCAGGCCCTGCAGGGGCCACAGACAGCACTCTGGCTGCACAACTCACCTGAGTCCCCCTCTCCTCTCAGACCAGCAAGCCAGCTGGACTGCTGTCCCTGAGACTTCTATTGTCCTCATACTCTCCAGATCCCCACCTTACCTTCCATCAGCAGATCTCTCACCACCCACCTGACGAGAAGTTCTGGGCCTTTCCACAGGGATTCCTTTATGTCTCCTTTCCCACACCAAACAGATCCTTCACATCACCCTTTTGTTTCCCTTCCCTCAGTCTGAGAGCAGTTGACATCTCCACCTCCTTACTTACCTAACTTACTTACCTGGGTCCAAGATGGTATCATCAGTTCCTGTCTCTTCCGTGCCATGTCATCCCCCATCCTCATTCCTGGATCAGAATCTGCATGTTAACAGGATCCCCTGTGAGAATTGGGCTGGAAGGAGAGGCAGGGCCTCTCCCTGGCTGGGAGCCATGAGCGGTGCAGAGTCCCAGGTGGGTTTCTGAAAGGGAGACAGACCACTATGATGAGCTCTGTGTCCAAAGGCAGGTGGACCACAAGAGGAGAGGCCCAAAGGCGGAGAGCAAAGGTCAAGGGGAGAGATGGCATGAGCTTGAATTTAGATAGACACGTTGTAGTGGGGAGGACATAAAACATAGTGCAAAAAAGATTCTTCAGGCTTCCACGGGCTGGTCAGATGTTCAAGGAAGGGACAAGACGGAGCTGAAGACAATTTTGAGGGTTTTGAGCCTGGGCAATGGGGAGGGTGGAGTTTCACTAACTGAGACAGGTAAGCTCAAGAAGAGAGATGGGTTTAGAGAGGAGATGATCTGTTTAATTTTGTTCAGAAAGCCTTTGGGATGTCTCTAGAGAGTCCGTGTAGAGATAGCCAGCAGGCAGGTGGAAATATGGAAATTTTAGTAGCTAGAGATTTGAGGGTCCTGGAAGTAATGGTTGAAGATGAGGATGTGGAAAGATAGAGGGGTTGTGCTGAGAGCAGAGGCTGGCGGGGCAGAGAGGCAGGTGAAGAGCACTTGAACAGAGAGGAAAATCAAAGCCCAGCAGAGAGTAACCAGGAGAGCCCAAGCCAGGTGTATGAGTGGTGGAGGGGGCCATGGGGTTGGCTTCTGAGCCACCATAGTCAGGAAGGTCTGAGAAAGAGGCCTAAAGCAGCAGCCAGCTGCCAGGGCCTCAGAAGAGGAAATAAAAGCAGCAGGTGCAAAGGACCTTATAAGAAGTTTGTGACAAAGGGAATGGGTGTGGAAAGATGTGAGGTGAACGGGGAGAAAGCAGGGCCTAGGGCAGCCATTTTAGGAAAAGGACAACATCATCACTCAGCAGATGTTGACTGAGGACCTACCATGTGATATGTACCTGTGCTCAGATCATAGTCACCTACTTTCTACTTCCAGAACCAGCCACCCAGCATTCACCCAGTGTGCTGGTTCTCCATTCTGTTCACTTGTTTTATCTGCCTCCTCTGCTTTGCTCCCCTATCCACCTGTCAGCACCTTCTCCAACCACACTCAAGGCCTAGCTCATTGCCCACCTCCTCCTAGAAACCTAAGATTCCAAAGGGGGAATCAACATCTCCGCTTCCCCATTCTCCCTTAGAGCAGTGTTTCTTTCCTATTACAGCTGCATCTGCATGTATGTGTAGGTGTCCCATCTTCTGGTCATGTAGTCCTGTAGGTCAAAGAACAGTTCTTACTCACCTTCGTGGCCTACACATACTTAGTAAGAGTTTTTTGCGTTTGAATCAGGTCCTATTCCCTCATTTCATAGATGATAAAACTGGCCAGAGTGGCCCCAGGTCTTAAATGATACTTGGCGGCAGAATCGCATCCCAGCCCTAGTCTCCTGGCCCCTGGTGCAGTGCTCAGGAAATAAGGAATTCCAGGCTCGGCTGCCCAATATCTGATGATATGTGCCCTCTACAGATGCACCCATGGCCCTCAACTCTTACCTCCCTCCTACAAACTGGATGGACTAACATCAGAACAGACAGACCTCAGACTAGCAGCCTGGGGCCACCAGCCTATTTTTCTTACACTACTCCCAGGTGTCTACACTGAATATCTAATAACGAGTATAATCCTGTTTTATGAACCTCCAGGTAAATTGCTTCCTTGCCGTTTCCAGCAAAGGCTGTTATCGTTTTTCGTCTCCAGTGAAAAATCTCTCTTTTCTCTTCTCTAAATCTCCCTCTCACCCCTCCAACCCTGAACACTGTGATGCATCACCTTTCTTTCAGCTAGGTCTCTGCAAAGGTGGGACAGGCTTCTCCCATCCTCCTTACGCCACTGCCTTGCTGTAGGAGGACCTCTGAAGCCTGGTAAGGCTGGAGCTCCTGGGAGAAAATGTGCTATATAAAAATCATCTAATTAGCGTGTTTTGTAAAAATCAAATACAGCCACGTGTCTGTATGACTGTTCACACAGGGTAGTCACACAGGAGGTTTCATAGGGGAATTGGAAAAAGCTAAGCTTTTCACTTGGTGAAGCTTTTCATCGTCTTCGTGCCTGGGCACCAACACAGAATGCACTCAGTCGTCCACCATCAGATTTGGTCTGGACATCGCAGTTCCCATTAGATCCACCTTCATTTTCAGGTCTCCTTGCTTCCAGCCTAGCTGTGGCCTTACCTCAAAAACAGGGAAAGTTTCTCTTTTTCCATAATCATGAATGGTTCGTTCAATTTTGCAAAAGCTGGTGGAAGGATCATGCATGAGACTCAAATCCTTGCAGTGAAATTCAGAGAACAGGCTAAATAAATACAATTGTCATGCCGACCTGAGAAGGCATACAGCGCCTCAATTGCAGCTAGTAGCAGCAAGGAACATGTTGGAAGTCCTCCACCCTGCGGTCTATATAACTGGGAAGAGAAAAACAGTCATTTCTCTGAAGGAGTTTATGTTCTCCTTCACGGGTAAGCTGGAGCAGGCTGACCTAGGAAAGGACACTCACAGTTGAATGCTTTTGCTTGCGTGGGAAGTCCAGCTGTCTCCATGGGGCCCAGGAGACAGACTGACGAGGGGAGAATTCCTGTTTGGGACTGGGCTTGAAAAGTCGCCTGTTGATAACACCCAACTTGCAGAAGAGCAGAAAGAATATCCAGCTGTCGTCTGGGTGAGAAAGCCCCTGCTTCTGACTGGGGCTGTTTTTGTGCTCTGGCCTCTCCTATCATTCCTCCTGGGCTAGTTAACCCCATCAAACCCCCAGTCAGTCCCATGGGCCAGCTCTGGAATCAGATGAACCTTTGCCATCAAGAAATGCAAGTGGCAAAATGACCAATATTGTATGGTTCTGCTTATATGAGGTTCTTAGAGTAATGGAATTCATAGCCAGGAAGTAAAATGGCAGTTGCCAGGGGCTTGTCAGGGAGAAATGGAGAGTCAGTGTTTCATGGATACAGAGTTTCAGTTTGGGAAGATGAAAAAGTTCTGGAGATGGGTGGTGAACAGTCTGAATATACTCAACATCACAGAATTATATACTTAAAACTGGTTAATTTAATGTTAACTGGTACATTTTACGTTGTGTATATTTTACTGCAATAAAAAAAGGGGAAAAAAAGTACAAGTGGGAACTCAGCCCTGGTCACAACACTGCTGAGAGAAAGCAGACAGGTGCCTCAATTCCCAGCCCTAAAGAAAGACGGGGTTGGGGTTGGGATTGCAGGAGTAAACATGGATCTACAAACAGCATGGTCAAATAGGTGAGCATACTGAACCAAGCCATTTAATCACTGGGTGTGCCCCATGACTAATTTGGGGGTCATTCTGCGTAATGCATGCCAGGGAAGGTTCTTAGTGTTTAAATGCCAAAGCCTGTGTAAAATCCTTGGAGGGCTGGATGGAAGGCCTTTTGCCCATGACCTGTTCAAAAATGCATTTCAGTTGCTCTAAGCAAGACTAGATTTTTGGAGTAAGAGGAATTGGCTAGAGTTCAGGGCCTGCCACTGTGTGGCTAGTCATTATACCCAATTTAAATTCAAATGCCTAGGATCAAAAGCGTGGTGAATATGAAAATACTTGTTATAGTCTATCTTTTTTATTATAACCATACTAGTAGGTGTGAAGTGATATCTCACCCTGATTTTGATTTGCATTTTCTTAATGACTAAAAATGCTGTGCATCTTTTTATGTACTTATCGGCCATTTGTATATCTTTTTGGAGAAATGTCTATCAAATCCTTTGCCTATTTTAAAAATTTGGGATGTTTGTCTTTTTAAATTGTTGCATTGTAAGAGTTATTTATATATTTTGGATACAAGTCCCTTATCATATGTGTGATTTGTAAATATTTTTACAATTCCATGGGTTGTTTCATCACTTTCTTGATAGTATGCTTTGATGCACAAATGTTTTTAAATTTTAATGAAGCCCACTTTATTTTTTCTTTTGTTGCTTGTGTTTTTGGTGTCATAGCTAAAAAACTACTGGCTAATTCAAGGCCACAAAGATTTACAGTTATGTTTTCATCTAAGATTTTTTATTTTTAGCTCTTACATTTAGGTCTTTGATCTATTTTGAGTTACTTTTTGTATATAACATGAACTAGGGGTCCAACTTCATTCTTCTGCACATGAATATTCATGGGTCTCAGCACCACCTGCTGAAATGACTATTCTATCCCTATTTAATTGCCTTGGTAAACATGTCAAAAATGGGTCTTCTTTTCTAATATAAACATTTAAAATTTTAAAATTCCACCTGAACTCTAACTGAAAGAAGCAAGACACAAAAGGCCATGTAGCATAAGATCCTATTGATATGAAATGTCCAGAACAGGTAAATCTAAAGAAACAGAATGCAGACTAATGATTTCCAGGGATAGAGGAGGGAGAACATTGGGACTGACTATCAATAGGTGTGGGGTTTCTTTTTGGAGTGATGGGGATGTTCTGGAATTAGATAGTGGTGATTGTCGCACCACATAGTGAATATAGTAAAAACCACTGAACTGGACACTTTAAAATGGTGAGTTTTATGTTGTCTGAATTATCTCTCAATTTTTAAAATGTGAAGCTGGTTACATGGATAAGAAGAAAAGTTGACACTTGTAACTTTATTGCACTAGCAATGTAACAGTAGTTTTTGAGGGATCAGTAAGAAGATAATCCAGATTGTGGTGATGGTTTCATGACTGTAAACTTACTTACAATCATTGAACCATGCTCTTAAAACAGGTGAATTTTATATTATGTAAATTATACCCCAATAAATATGTTTTGGGGGGCCGGCTGAGTGGCTCAGTTGGTTAAGAGCATGAGCTCTGAGCAACAGGGTCACCAGTTCGATTACCACATGGGTGAGTGAGCTGCGCCTAAGCTGAGCTGCTGCTGAGCTGCCAACAGGTGGCAGGATGGCTCAGCTGGTGAGAGCACGTGCTCCTAACAACATGGTTTCCGGTTTGACTCCCCCATGAGATGGTGGGCTATTCCCACCCGCAACTAAGATTGAACATGGCACCTTGAGCTGAGCGGCTGCGAGCTGCTC